TGGTGGGGGACAGTGATAGACCAACTGTTTTATCAGGACAGATAATTTTACAAATACCGCAGAAAACAGAATAAGAGTGGGATGAGCTCTTAAAATGCAAATAAAACAAAACAAAAACTTTACAAAGTTGTGCGTTTGCCTGAACATGCTTCTGGAGTTGAAAAATGAGGAAAAATAGAGAAATCGACAACCGCGAGAAACAGAGCGCTGCAGTGCTTCTGTATCCCATTGAAAACTTTTCTGTCTTGTAAGGCTTAGTCCTATCTGAATGCAACATTTTGGTAGCCTACTTTAGGAATACGCGCAAGCGCCATGCATAATTTGCATGATCCCTTCATGCTATTCACCCATTTTTTGTGGTGTCCCAAAGTTCTGCAGTTTAACTCCAAATATAGTGACCATGGTCCTTAGTAAACAATGTCTTTAAATTACGTATTACGAAAACCACAAGATTTTATTTTCGAGGAGGTGATTATTTTCCTAAGGCGACCTATTTCTGCTCATCTGTTTAAAAATACCATCGCGTATCGTCGACCAGGGACGCTACTTCTTTGAATTGAACTGCACATAATGGAACTGCGATTTTATTCTGGTTACTTCTATTACTTGCTGAAAAAGAATCTGGTGCCTTTGAAGTCAATACAAATTACTAAATTCGCAAGCATCTCCAAAAGTAATTGAGTTAACATTCTGGAATAGTAACTTGAGTAGTAGTTTAGATACTTTATACAGGAGCTATTTAGTAATTTATCTTAAATACTTTTGTGGAATATCTTGCCCAACACCTCAGGTAATGCAGTGTAACACACCGGAGTGACGTTTGGTGTCGCGTGACTTGACGTCACACGGCACCATAAAAAAACCACGTGACCATGTCACGTGATGTGACGTCGCGTTGCGTCATGGCAAACCAAGTAGCTTCCGATAACGTCATGCGATTTGAAGCCAGAGTCTCAAGCCGGTGCATCATGTTACGTTACACAGAATGGGACTGGTGTTCGTGTGTCGTCATGCATGTGTTCCAAATCCCACCCAAATGGATCCAAACTACTCCGACGGTTCGTGTCCTGTGAGGACACAGATTGAAAAGTGCTGGACGCGGGTAGGTTTTGGAACACCAAGGTACAAAACCCTTACCCTGGAGTAAGATCGAGTAAATTTTGGAACACGGCCATGATGTCCCGTTATTGTTTTAAGTGACAAGCAGTACTGTTTCCAACATAGCAGTTTTTTCGCACAACTTAACGGTTTTATCAGCTGTTTAGTAGGACAAATTGACTTTTTGAGGGTGTTGAGATTTTTTAGCGTTTTTGAAGTCATGTTAGCGGGTTTTTTTCTCCGGCAATCTACAATGTTTTCAAATTTACAATTGTTAGCCTTAATGCCTTAATTTATTTTGCAAGCTAGAGTCATGGGGTCATAATATTTGCTTTCTCTCAGCAAAACTGTTTTAGTTAGAAGAACGCTTGCGACGACATTGGAATATTATGGAAATTAAAGTGTCATTTTTAAACATGATTTTAGCTGATTTGTGCGTGCATACATATACGTTTTTGAAGTGGGCCAAATAAAATGGGTTCAGTTAACTAGGCACAAAACTTTAAAAAAAACACATGGGGGATATAATCTTTTTTTAACTTGAAGTCTTGTTACTTGAAGTTTCAAGCAACGTTAGACGGGTCAGATACCTCTAGTGGAAAATATAACTTCCTACAAAGCACGTAAATTGAATCTAAAAAATCTTTAAGTTAAACCACATTTTACACGAAAGATAGAAACGATACAGATGTACGTCGGTATGCAGGTGTGGTAAGAAAACACCTGGTAACAGTAAAATCATGCGATGGACATCGTTCTAGTCATGGCAGCGGCGCGCCTTAGTCAAACAGCTGACTTCTACAAATTATTTTACTTATTGAGCTTTTTGTTTACTAATTATAGCAGTAAATTGTCTTAAAAACTCATGACTTCACTTTGCCTCAAAGAGATCAATCATAGGGGTTCATCAGAATTTCCACTCTGTGTTTTTAATTATTTAGTTCGCAACACTGTTGACGATAGTCACGTTGAGGACGTCATGTCAACATCGTCCGGTGAATTTAGCGGGGCACACATCCCGCCAACGTCTGCGGGACATCAGTCCGCTTTATTTGCGGGCATGTAATGGCATTTTTTGTGACTATTTGTTGACGTTCGATTTTTTTTCGACGACACGTTATATTTGTATTTAGGATTTGAGGCCTTAAAGGGGCACTAAACCACTTTCCATGACACTCCATTTATTGCGATAACTGAATTTATATGCTCTAACCATCCATAAAAAAAATCATTAAATTCATGCGTGGACCATATTTTATTAAAATCGGAATCTAAGCAGAATAAAACACCCGCATAATGCGATGACGTCACGTATAGTCCTTATATATCTTTGCACGTAATGCAGCGTGGTGCACGTTCTGCTTAGTAGTCGTAAGGCCGTGACTAGGGATGTCACAAACCTACCGAGGGCCGATTTTGACCACATTCGACCTTCACAAACTTCTGACGCAAAGTTAGACAAAAGTTCGATTGAGGTTCGACTATCATGCGCCCACCTAATAATCGAAAACGGAGGACAAGCTACGCCAGATGGCAGAGAAGGGTTGAAGAATAACTATACCATTCAAAGCTTTAGTGTCGGATTTTATATAAAAAATCGCGCCAAGATGGTGCCGGACAAACACGTACGTGCTGACTGCTCTGGGGAAATCCTCGGTCGGCAGCATTGCCTTGAATGTTGCGGTGACTCTGACCAGCGGTTTCATTCCTAATATATAAACTCAAACGCATGGCGAATACGACGTGCTGATGGGCAGCGGACTAAGTAAGAACAAATGCACATCATGTACCCGACGGCAAAACTCGACAAGTGACACGCCCCTCTTTTCGGAAGAGGCCGACGGTGCCAAAAAATCTAACCAGTGATTGCGACGGTGAGAATGAAAACAAGCTTCTCAGGATTGTGGAAGTGGTCCTCGAGAAAGTGGACAAGCTTACAGTGAAAGTGTCACGTCAAGGGCAGTGATTGCTTCGCTACGTGACCAAAGCGAAAAACTTGGAGCCGATACGACCAAAACGCTGAATGCTATAAACAAACTGTGGGCTGGAATTTAAAAAAAACACCTCTTTCGCGCCCCGAGATAAACATCCGAATACCTTTAAGGGCGTTGTGCAGGCAGGTTCAGCACCCGGCAGATCAACCAGCACTTTCCCACGCACTGTCTCGTCACGAAACGACGCGAGGACAGCCTTGAACGCCATAGCCACGATGTCTAACGAGCAGAGAAATCAACGGTACAACACCCACCAAGCAACGACGGATGAACCTGATGACGGTTTCATCGTTTTATTGTCGTGAGACGGAATAAGAGTACAATGAGATCCGGCACATGCAAGTCTTGAACCATCTTGAGTGGATTTCGCCCACGAAAACTTTTCTTCTTGACACGCCTTCACCCGAACACAACATCTGAAAGTGTATGTCAACTCCTGGTTTCAGTTACGGAGGCAAGCGGTTTTCAATGCGCCAGGCTAGGAAGTAAGTTCAACACTTAAGCACCATTCCACATTGCGGTAGACGATGACAAGGTGGGCATCGTCAGGGACCTTGAACTGTGGCCTGACGGCTGTCTTTTTTGGCCTTTCTGCTGTCCGTTAAAGAACAGTATGCGTTTAAGTCAAGGGAATAATCAGCACAGCAATGGCAATGCATAGATCATGAAAGTTCTTTTACTACCATAACGTACGTAGCATGGGGGGAAAGGTTGCGATATTCAGGGAAAATTGCCTTGCTTTCAATTGCGACATTTATTGCATTACCTGAACGTGGTTGCGAGATGATATTTCAAGTGTCGAGTATTTTCCCTCCCAGTACGTAATTTTCCGCGGAGATAAAGATTACAAACGTTGCAAGCAGATTCTCTGGAGCGGCCTGCTGATAGCGATAAGAAGTTATCTGAATTCTTTCCGCAGACCTGATTTAGAGAGCTACCAAGAGTGTGTGTGGATCGATATTAGTGTTGACGGTCAGCCCAATATCCTCTTGAAAAATTGCTATTTTCCCCTCAATGTAACTGCAATACTTTTAGTTCAACTATCCACCATTCCTTGAACACTATATATTTTACAAATTACCATGTTTTTATTACTGGCAATTTTAAACTGCCACATATGAACTGGAACACTATCGTAAACTCCAGTAACTCAGAGGTGCGCCGGTAAGCCAATTACCTCTCCCAACTCGTAAACTTCTTCAAACTGCTCCACAAAAATACTTTTCTGAAGTGCGAGGGCAACCTATTTTACCCTTTTCATCACGAATGTCAATGAGTGTACACTCGAAGGTGCCAGGGTTTCACTGGTTCCAATAAACACCTCCCATGTTCCATTTGGGCTAACTTGGATGATATTCTGTAAACGGGGCCAAGCGGGCCCGCGACCGACAGCTTTTTCGTACTCAAAGGAGAATTATCTAGGATTCTGGAAAAGTAGATTGGCCAGTTATCACGTCATCTGAAGTAGACGTAAACTCACGAGTATCAATACTTACAGACATAGTCACGACAGCAATGAAAGTGGTTATCATGGTCTCTAAATACCATAAAAGTAAACACTATCCGCACGTAATCATATCCCCCATTCACGCTTAAAAGCTCGAATGGGGGATATGATGACGTCCATTTGGTTGCGTGTGCACACTGGCAGCTGCTTACTCATGGGAAGATAGTGCGCCGCTTATTATACACACTGAAATGTTCGGTTCACCACCCCCTTTAAGATCTATCATCAAGTCAAAATCTAATCATACGCCATTTAATGGACTTCAGATTGAGTGAGGCATTTTCAGTGGAGGTGACATGGCAGATGCTATCAATGATTATTTTATAAACGTTGGTGCTCACAATCGCCCGAATACCACGTCATCGAGTATTTTTACACGTGCTTACCTAGAACATACTAGTATGTTGAATCCTGTCACTTTTGAAGTTGAGGCAGTCATAAAAACAATACAAAGTAAAAGCGCTTCCACGGATGATAACATAAAAGCCGAACCGATCAAACACACATCTATCATTATAAGTGAGCCCTTGCAACATATTATGAATCTTATATTTAAAACTGGTAGTTTCCCATGTGTTTTAACAACTGCGGCAGTAATTATACGTCTCTTTTTTTTTGGCCCCTCCGTAGATGAAATAGAACAAGAGGCTAATAACTACCTACAAGATCTAAACAGGCGGCTCGGCGTAAATAAAATACAATTAAATGCTGCAAAAACAAAGTGAATGGTTTGTACGCCAAAAAATAAACAAGATTCATAAACTGCCGTGTTAGGCAATAAACAATTGCATTATGAACCATATAACTGATTGCATATTTTTAGGGGTATGGTTTAGTGACAAACGGTAATGGACAACACAAACTGAGCATATAAAAAGTGACCTCTCTAGAACAGGACGAATAATTTATAAGGCAAAAGAGCTCTTACCAACATAGTTGGAGGTACAAATGTACTACACCACTTTTTTTCAAAAACTTCACTACTGTTTACTAGTTTGGGGCACCATGGTTAAGACCAACTATAATGGACTTATAAGTTTACAAAAACGTATCTTAAGAATAATGGCCAACTCGAATCACGCTATTGAAGCCGAAACCCTATTCAAACATTAAATATATATCCACTTTTTAAGCTTTACCATTAAGCTTTTCAGCTTATTTATAGAAACGGAGTTAGCGGCTGTGGCCTCATTCCTGCAAACCTGTCTGAATATGATTCAAGGGAAAGAGGACATCCAGACCTCCCATCTATTAGGACTAACTACGGCAAAAAAAATCAATTTTAGGTTCCCCAGCTCCCAAATGCAGTCGGCAATAACGTAACAATTACTGGAAACAAAATTACATTTAAAAAAGATCTACGCTTCTTTTTAATTGCCAATGAGTTAATACTTCTGTTGAGACATTGAAATACATTTTTGAGTATTCTAACCAGTATTTTTTGGTGAATCCGTTTTCATTACAAATTTTGTATATATATATATATATATATATATATATATATATATATATATATATATATATATATATATATATGTTTATTTATTTATTTATTTATTTATTTTATTACCCTCAAGGCCCTGAAATTTTACAGAGTGTAGTAGGGCAAGTTAAATATGGAATACAAACAATATACAAACACTAAAAGCCAAGAACTAAAAATGTCTAAAAAATGTGTAAACAAGTTTAGAAATCATAGAAGGCAAACGAACAGACAAAGATATTAACATATGTAAGCACACACCGCACTCTTAAATAAGGCAAAGGACGGTATGTTTAACAATTGCACGTGAAGGCGCTTTCACCCTAAAGATGTTCTGGGAGTAAAATAGTTATAATAGGCCGAGGTATTGCAATAACAAAATTCCGACTTTCCCACATAGAGGTCGTTCAAGCCATCACCCAGATCCACCACCTACGACTTGGCGGGAAGGACTACCCAACATACACGTATGTGGCCTCCCCGGACAACTCCATCAAAGGGGTAGTCCACGACATCGAACCGGGTTCCAGCCCCGAAAAACTCCTCCATCACATAGAGGCCCCAGGATACAGGATCCTGCATGCCCGTCTGCTGGGCAACACTGGCACGGCCCTCGTCACGTTTGAGGGACGGAAGATCCCCCCGTACGTCCAGTACCAGAGCGCGCTTCAGCGCTGCTTCCCCTACCGGCCCATCAGACAGGTTTGCACTAAATGTCTGGTGGCGGGGCATCGGGCCGACGTCTGCCCCACGCCGCACATAAAAATATGCCTCAAGTGTGCAGTACCCAACCCCCCAACCGACCATGTGTGCGCCCCGAAGTGCACCCAGTGCCGCGGCGACCATCCCACCAATGATACAAGCTGTCCGCAGCGGTTTGCCAAACCCCGAGCAACTCAGCGCGTCAGCCGCCCAAGTAGGAGGGGAGGACACGGCAACACAGGCCGTGACCGCAGCAACAACAGGCGACAACAGAACCAGACCCGCTCCCAATCCCGCCCGGCCTCTCGCCCAAATTCCCGTCCTGGCCAGCAACCTCGGGGAAACCTGCCCGGCCCAAACAGACACCGGCGGGAGCATCCGCCAAGCAGGAAGCCACCAGTGGCCAGGCTCTTCAATCGGACAACACCCGGACGGAGCCCTACACCGACACGCAGCAGGTGAGCTGGGCGACGCGGCTCACCGGGTCTCAGACCTTGCCCCCAACCACCAACCCATTACCCCCCCCCCCCCTCCCGCGGCACCCACAACAATCTCCCTAGCTGATACGCGGCAAGAGAGGGTAGAAAATCTCCTCCTCCAAATCATGGAGCGCCTCACTCGCATGGAGGGGCGCATTACTGCGCAGGAGCGGCGAGACACTGATCCTGCTGCCCCCGTTACTACGAGTATCCCTTCCGCAGAAACAATCTGCCACACCCTTAAAGAGGTTACAGATAACATCCGCGCCCACAACCAAAAATTCGACCAAATCCAGGCCGACATTCATGACTTAAAACAAGCCAAGCGGGATTTCTACACCACCCGCAAAAATAGGCGGATAGAAACACGCTGCCAACCATACCCCCCACTATCCCTGCCTCACGATGACGGCACGACGCCCACCGAGTTGTAACCCAACTCGGGTGTGGCAATGGAACTGTCGAGGGTACCGCAGGAAACGCGCTGCTCTTGCGCAGCACATTGCCCATCAGAAATTCCCTCCAGAAGTACTTGCCCTGCAGGAAACTGGTATCATCCCCACCCTAGCAGGCTACCAAGCCTTTACCTCCCCAGACCATCCGCAGGTGGCCACGCTAATTGCTAACCACATTACGGCTAAGCAACACACCATTGCGGGGACCTCAATTGGACACGTTCTAGTTGAACTCCTCCCCACGCGCAGGCATTCCCCCAGTCTTTTCGTACTTAATATATACAGCCCTCCTAGTCACCGTAAAGACGCATTTGAACGCATATTCTCGAGTGATTTAACCTTATCCCAACAAAATCTTCTCATTGTTGGCGACTTCAACGCCCCACATCAGGCTTGGGGCTATCCCAAGGCCACGGCCAAGGGAAATCGGCTATACGAAACGATATGTCAACATCAGCTCACCACCCTTACCGATCCCACTTGCCCGACGCGAACAGGCAACAGCATCACAAGGGACACTTGTCCCGATCTCGCCTTCGTAAAATTCACCCCTCACGCGGAATGGACCAACACAGAGGAAACCCTCGGGAGTGATCATTCCATAATTGAAATTGAAATCGCTCTCAATTCGCAAAGAAAAGCCCTTCGGAAGCAGGCGCTTACTGACTGGGACGCCTTCCGAAAAGCGCGAAAGGACAAAAACTCCCCCTCACCTCCAGACTTCGAATCTTGGCTCCAGCAACTATGCGTGGACGCTAAAGAACCCACAAAATTACTTACCCTCACCCCAGATACCCCAGCAGTAGATCCATACCTTCTCCATCTCTGGGAGGCCAGGCGAGGCCTCCTTAAACGATGGCGCCGCCAAAGGCTTAACCGCAAACTTAAATTAAAAATTGCTACACTGACAGAGGAGGCGTTCCAATATGCCTCCAAATTAGCGCAGTCTAACTGGCACCAGGTATGTGACAGGTTTCAGGGCACGTTGAGCACCGCGCACGTGGTCCTTCCTGCGGCACCTGCTCGATCCCACCAAAGGCAAACGGCACTCAAGCCAGACGCTCCGAAAAATAATCCACGATCACCCGGGCACGAATGCTGATATACTTCGGGACCTCACCGAGAGATACATTGGCCCAACGATCAACACAGACTACCCCAACTACAGGGGGTCCGCCAATCCCGACCTGGACAGACCTTTCACGACAACGGAGATCACCCATGCTGTGCTTACCCTCACGAGAAACACGGCCCCTGGTAAAGATGGAATCCAGAACCGCCTCCTTCGCAAATTCGATCCTGACTCTCTCGAAGACCTCACCACGTACTTCAACCAGATCTGGGAAACCCACAAACTCCCGGAAGACTGGAAACATGCTGAGATTGTTCTAATCCCAAAGCCCGGCAAACCACCCAGCCTGAACAACCTACGGCCTATCTCCCTTACATCATGTCTCGGGAAACTGTTCGAGCACGTTGTGCTTAACCGTCTGCAGCCCTTCGTCGAAGACACAGAAGCCTTCCCACACACCATGTTTGGATTCAGAGCCCACCTGTCCGCTCAAGACGTGCTTCTACAACTCAAAGAAGACCTCATAGATAATATATCCTCCTGCAGCACCCAAGCTCTCCTCGCTCTAGACATTAAAGGAGCTTTCGATAGCGTCAGCCAGACCCTAATTCTTCAGAACCTAGCCTCCACAGACTGCGGAGAGAAGACTTACAACTACATATGTAACTTCCTTCGCAACCGCACAGCGACCATTGGCATAGATTCCATCCGAACGGACCCTCTACCCGTCCCCAACAAGGGCACCCCACAGGGCTCCGTTCTCTCCCCCACACTTTTCAATCTGGCCATGCGCAAGCTGCCCGAACAGTTGGAGGAAATCCCGCCCATCAGACACACCCTATACGCAGACGATCTCACCATTTGGACCACCTCGGGGTTGGAGGGCTCCATACAAGACGCACTACAAACCGCGGTAGACACCGTCCAACGATATCTTACTTCGGGCAACTTGCAATGCTCGGCCGAGAAATCAGAGCTACTCCTCCTGCATCGCCGAAACAAGCGGCACCCCGACCAGAATAGCAATATCGAACTCTACCTCGATGGCAGCATCCCCATCCCGACGGTGCCAAGGCTCCGGGTACTTGGCCTCCATCTGCAGGCAGACGGTAGGGCAAACTACACCATACAAACCCTCCAAAAAACAGTCACCCAAATCATGCGCATGGTGGGACGCATCACAAACCGCAAACACGGGCTCAAGGAGACCGACGTGATCCAGCTCACCCAGGCTCTCATCACCAGCCGCATCACCTATTCCATCCCATACCTCAACTTAAACCAGGGTGAGAAGAACAGAATAAATATCCTTATCCGCAAAGCCTTCAAGATTGCTCTGGGCCTGCCACTTTACGCCGCCACAGATAAGCTCCTAGCCATGGGCGTACATAACACCCTTCAAGAGCTCGTACAAGCACACCTAGCCAGCCAGCAAGAACGGCTCGCCCTCACCCCCACCGGCCGCACAGTCCTCCAGAACTTACACTTCCCGATACCCAGCTCGGTGCGGAACACGGTTCGCCTACCAACGGCCATACGAGACCACATTCAAGTGGCCCCGATCCCCAAGAACATGCATCCCATCCTTCACTCCGGCCGCCGCATTGCCCGAGCTCGGGCCCTCCAACACAAATATAGCAGCAAGGCAGACACCCGTTTTACTGACGCTGCCATGTACTCGGATCAACCAGCGGCCGCAGTCAGCGTGATAGACCACGATCTCAAGACGGTAGTTACGGCCTCCATCCGCACTATCAATCCAGTGGAGGCAGAAGAAATGGCCATCGCCCTGGCAATCGCCTCCGGCAAGGAATACCTCAATATCCTCTCCGATTCCCAAACCGCCCTGCGACGATTCCGAGCGGGCAGGATCTCACCATGCGCTCTGCGCATCTTAACAGACCTCAAAACCCCGCTTCCAGAAACGAAGCTCATCTGGACTCCTGGCCATGAATCTGTAGATGGAAATCGGCAAGCCCATGCCGTAGCCCGAGCCTGTACACACCGGGTGCCACAAACAGAGGACCACAACACAATTCTCAAATTTATTCCCGTACCCAACCAATACTCTGAAATCCTCATTCATCAACGAGGCGAGAGATTTAGATACCCCCCTCCACATCGGAGCCTAACGCGGGAAGAGGCCGTGATCTGGCGCCAACTCCAATCCCACACCTACAGACACCTCGCCCTCCTCCACAAGTTTTATCCCACCATGTACCCTGCTAGCTGCCCACATTGCTCAGGGTACCCCTCCTTATACCACGTCACGTGGGCCTGCCGATCCCACCCATCCCTTCCCCCATCTCCTCCCCTTCCCCGGAGACTTGGGAAGCTGCGTTGCTCAGCTCGCACCCGGACGACCAGCGTAGTCTGGTTGAGCGGGCCAAGGCAGCAGCGGCCAGCACTGGAGCCCTGGACTAGGGGCCCCACCCATCTTCGGATATTTCCATATTCAAATAAAAGTTTGCATCATCATCATCATCACGTCGTCCGTCCACGGCAACTTCACCTCCGGGAGTTGCCGCGTTGAGTTTTTCGGGCAGGAAATGGGAGACAGGCTGTCACGGCGTGACCGATGGAAAGGCGATGCGGAACGTCGGGGGAATGGAGACCTTGAAGCTCGTGGTGCTGTCGGCGCTGGTGACGGAGGGTGACGGAGATATTCCTCGATGTCACGAGGGCGTTCGCCGTGTCTTGGGCAAGGGTCATTCGGTGCAAAACCTCGGAGGCGCATTTGTCGGTACGGGCAGCACCGGTAGACGGGAGCGGCCTCGCCGCAGTGATAACATAACGGTTGTCGATCGGCCGTGCGCCACACATCCGTCTTCCTAGGCTCTAGTTGTTCGGTGCGGACGAGCTGGGGCTGCCCTTCCCGACGTTGGAAAGTATGCGCCTCTATTTTAATGCACTTGTGCCCCAAAATAAAGTGGAGAAAGGTTAGCGTGGAATTCATCGATGTCGGCGAAACAGCGTGATTGAGCGCTGGGGTGAAACTAACCCCGGCTTGCCACGCGCGCCTTTTGTAGCCGTGTACGCTTCTGGCACATTCGGCCTAGAACGTTCAGCGAGTAGAATATTCGTAACTCGATCAGACGAAAAAGTTCTCGAATTTGCGAGAACGCCACTTAGAAAGAATAAATAAAGAAACATTCCGCTCCCTGGAATTGAACCCCTCACGTCCGCGCAACAGCCAAGTGCGGTAACCATTCGGCTACGCACGCGCTCGCTCAGCGACGCGCGTGGCATTATCCTTGATCAGCAATCTTTGAGATCTATGTACAGCGTGTCACAAAAGAAAATTTAAACGGTCGTTTTTACCGCAAAAATAAACTAGGCGTCGCGGCACGCTGATTCTCCGCCCAAAGGTAGCGCTAGAGATCACAACCAGATGCCAAATTTTCAGCCCGATCCGATGCCTTAATAAAAAGTTATAAGTGATTTTCTGAAAATTGCAATGAGAAAATGGCGGCCGACGGAGTTTTCGAATACATGGCGCTCTATGGCACCAGAAACCGAAAACGGGCGAAAGTGGGCTCAATTTTCCTATTGAAATTTTCAGAAAATAACATAACTTTTGATGAAGTTATCGGATCGGGCTGAAACTTTGGCACCTGGTTGCTGTCTGGTTGTAACTTCTAGCGCTACCTTTGGGCGGAGAATCAGTGTTCGGCGATGCCTAGTTTATTTTTGCGGTAAAAAAACCCTGTAAACTCTTTTTTTTTTTTGTGTGACACACTTTACTTATACTTGTAAGGTAATAAAATTATTTTTGCTTTTCTTATGCAGTCCATTAAATTTTGATTGTTCATATAACTTCGAAGAGGAATACGTTTTGATTACAGCCCATTACTGTTAAAGAAATATCTCATTTACAACTTTCTTTATCCAGCAGAATGAGCCCTTGCGTGGGTTCTGAAGTTGTGATGCACAGTTAACTAGCTCTTGAAGTGCTTCCAAACTTGGTAAATCAATGCCGCATAGAATAATAAAACCCTTCACACAGCCTCCTCTCCCTTCATGAAGCGTCATCAGAGTCGGATCGCGCTAACTCGATTATTGGACCCAAGCCCGACCTTCGACGCCCTGATTGGACACGAGCCCCAGACGAACACTGGCACAGCACTCGTGCCCAATCTCAGGCCTCGATCGATCTGACTGTGATGACGCGTGCGGATTCCTTCTGTCTAGGACCTTAGGAAGTGTTGGTCAGATGTGGTATAAAATACGTTTTCAAGGAGGTTTTGACGAGCGTGTTGGAATAGATGTAGCAGTAAGAAAGCACAAAACAAACAGAAGGACGAAAACAGACATGTACAAGTTTTCATGTTACAACAACATATATTTGACGCCAGCGAACTCTGCACCGACATACGTCGGTGGGGAAGGAGGGAGGAAGCGAGAGGGAGAAAAAAAGGGGGAGAAGGGGGCGAGATGGAGGAGAACGGGGGAGAAGGGGAGGTAGCATATTCGCATACGGAAACAAATTTGACGACCGAAGGCTGATAGAAGGGCGATCTTGTTGTTCAGGGTGGTGCAAGTGGGGTCCGGGGAAACGCCAGCCTCACAAACACGAGTTCTGGCTCAGTCAACGTGAGGAATGGGGATGCCATATTTCTCTTGGTCGTCGTCATCCTATAGGCGTCAATTATCTCTCTCTCGTAGCGCTCCCGGTGGCCCCCGACAACGTTTGTCTCGTTAGACAGTGAGTGCATGCCTGGCAATCTCTGCTTCGCAGGTCCCCCAGCAGGTCGCTGCTACTTTTTCTTAATGTCATTTACGAAAACAGTTTTTAATGGGCATATGAGTCCAATATATGTTGAGTCAGAACATACTAAGCTAATATTTGAACACAATTAAAAATAAAGTGCTTGTAAAATAACTCCTTAAATCCGTCACTCCATGTTTCCACCCCTAGCTTTCATATAAGAGAAACGTACTACCCGTGTATTCCAGCAAATAACGTTATAATAATACAGTGTTTAGTGGGTTGTATAAGAGCATAAACGTATTTCAGCATATTATGTAGTAAGATAAGAAAAGTAAATATGAGCCAGAAAGCACTTCCCAGCGTGAACAAGTGAAGTTACAAGCATATATAAAGTAAACAATTTTGTGCAATTTAAAAGCTACACCAACAGAGCGACACTTGCACCCAAATTGATATAAAGTATCTAGGAAAGGTATTTTGCGGTATTGTTCAACCCACAGCTATGCCAAATGTGCGCATAAACGCGTTCGAAAGAGAAAAAAAGAAAAATATGAAGACACGAGCGTCACTCGATAAGCTAGAAACATCTAACTTAATCATGCTGGCTTGCTTTTAAAGATATCTGACGTTTTTAGCACACGGGTTACGCATTTTCTAAGTATAGGGTCCTTACTACTTTTTTCTACAATTTCAGTGTGAAGACGCTTGAACAATTTTCACATTCTTGAATGCCATTTCAAATTTTACTCCACGCGATTACCTGTAAGCAATTTGAGAACGACGCAGTCCCCAAATAAGGTCCGAATACAAGGTATAAGGCCCTCGGCTGTCTCCTGGTACTATGGAAAATTCCTCAAAATGAGGCCTTTTTGGGAAAACCGGTCTAGGGGAAGTAGGAATGGTTCGGCCGTTTTCGAGCATTCACTCATCATTTCAAATTCGGGCATGCCCGCCTCGCCTTGACATTGTTTTAGATCAAACTCGTGACAAAATATGACATGCATGAGTTCTTAACATCAGAAGTATAAAATTTAAGGCCCTCAACCCTGATCTGTTGCAACGGCATATCCTCTAACATAAGCCATCTTTGAGAAAACGTGCCTCAAAATCGGAATGGTTCGGCTGGTGTTAGGTATTCGTTCATCATTTCAAACTTAGGCTCCTGTTTCTCGTCTGGAAACTTTTAAAGATTGACCGAGTTCTCAGCTTGTAAATAAATATAAAAATGGAAGGCCCTCGACTAAAAGCTGCTTGTATGGCAAATACCCAAAATTAGCCATCTTTGAGAAAACGTGCCTCAAAGTGGGCGTGGTTCCTGTGCTTTCAGGCATTCCTCCCTTCACCATTTCAAATTTGGGCACCTACGTCTTATCCGAGTTCTTTTTGAGATCGGACCAAGCTCTTAACTGGCGACAAAATATAACATTTAAGGCCGCCGAGTACAAGTCGGTGCCGTTAAGGAACCCTGTTCTTCTGCCCTGTTCAAGGAATGTAATACCAACACGGATATATCAATGTGTACATCTCCCAAATTGTGTTGCTATTTAGCTAGTCAGGTGCGGGATATTGGAATAATTGATTTATTATAACAATTTAGAATGTGCAAAAATATTACTTCTTATACGTTTATTCACTACGGCGCTCCAATTATTGGCAATATTAATACATTTATAAATCATATAAAATTAATTATTCAAAACAAATTCGAAAACGTTTTGACACTTTCAAATTATCGTAATATTAAACAGCCGTTCTGCTGTTTAATACCCTAAAAATAATTTTGGCAAACAAAAACAAAATGTACTCTGCACATTATTGACTCTCATGGTTCAATGCAGTCGAATGGGAAATCTTGTATTTTGTTGAATTTTTAAACTCAACTGGTTTAAATTCGGCTCTTTCTCAAACTTTTGCGTGAGGTGCCTCCGAATTATATCTTTTACGGGTGTAACACACATCTTAGACATCACCGAATTCGCCATTATGTTTGAAAGGAATTGTATTTAGTGTATACAATAATAAGGAGTTTTTTATACCTATTTAATAAACTCTACACTTCGATTGACTTAGATACTATTCGTAGTGGCAATACGCCAAAAAGATTATTCGACCGAAGAGCCTGCAGTTTGCACGTAATCTTGAAATTTCGGCACAAGAATTACGGTATTCGAATAATGGAGAAGTAGCATGGGCAAAGTGTTTTAAGCCTAACTTTTGGGTTGTATTGCCATGTTTGTATATTAAATACACCGCCTTCTATGGGAGCGCTGCCGCAGCCCGCTAAAACATAGCGCAAGCAAAGATTTCGGGGGATTATGGTGCCGAACATGAATTATAGATATTGCGGTTTGTTTACCAGATAGAGGTTTTTTTTTATGTTGTATATTATTTTTGTATGATTTTTTTTTTCTTGATATATATGAGATGTCTTTTGTAGATCGAGAGCTTACAGGCCAGCGGAGAGTCCAGAAAACAAAGAAAATCACAAAGGACCGTACGTGATTAAGGAAAGACTCCCCAACAATCCCTCCCTCATGGGAGAACTTCTATTGAGTAAACGAAACCAAAGATGCAACTGTGGTATTGCTCCTGTGGACAAGCTAAAACACTGAAGCACAGGCGACATTGACTCAGAAGAGTCCGAAGAAGATTCCGACCGGGCCGGTAAATAAAGCACGACGGCCGAGTGTAGCCCACGGTTTGCCACAGGTGCGCGAGATGGGTTCACATGTCCTGTCTGCGGGGGCTCGCAGTTGGGGAAGGGGGGGGGGACTTCACACAGACAAACACTAGCGCGGTCTGTGGGAGCAGAAGCCATACCGGCATGCTCCCTCCTCCTTTTAATGCAAAGTATCCATTAGCTGCCTCTCTCGCAACCTATCTGCCACAAAATAGGGAGCCTATCGCCACGAAATAAGGAGCTCAACACGAGCCACGCATAGGAAGCGGCAGTACGCACTCTCATATTCGCATCCAGGCTATAAAGCAATCACTAAAAACGTTTAGCCTTTCCACTTAGGTGAAGAGGGAAGACCAGCGAAGCTGTACTATGGCGGGAATGAAGTAATGGACGGCCGCAAGTCGGCAGGCCAGAGTGGAAAGGCTCGAAAGGTTGCGCCATCTATGAGCGGCGGCGGCAAGCGAATAACCGTCAAACACAACACTCTGGACAGCTACCGCCATCTATGAGCGACGGCGGAAACAGAGTTTTGTGTCTACATTTCTTTGCGGGGGACACGATCCTGGGGAAACACGCCCTTGACAGCTCCGCTGTAAAAAGAAAAAAAATTCCAAGTAGCGCGCTACAGTCGCAGTGAAGTCAATGATTGCGTCGTAAACCATTTATAAAACCCAATATTGAGGCACTCGTCGTGTCAGATGAGACGGGACCTCGCAACCGACCACTACCTGCAGAAGAAGAGTTCCTTGAGAGGCAACGGCGTCGTGCAGCTGCCCAGCGACCCCGATACGCAACCAATGATCTCTATGACAATCGCTGGACCGCGCATCCCCGCTCCGCTAGTGCGGCCACCGGATGGCCATCTTGCATCTTGAAAAATCTTGTTTTTGGAGCGTTGCGGAGGCTGACGGCAGCGTGCTAAATACATGCTTTGTACTCGTTCGTCCTCATTTGCTCAAGAAGTTATTCAAAACCCTGTGTAAGCCGTGAGACTTTCTGTTGAAAACTCGTAGAAATATTTGCGGAATATTTAGGCCCAACTCGTCGAATGGAAGTTCCGTCTTTCTCGCGGCGTGATCAAACCTTCCTAGGCACGCCGAAACGCTGCGTGTCTGTGCCTTCGCACGCTTCGATACCGATCAAGAATCGGCGCCGCTGCAAAGTTTTGAAGATGTGTCGCGCGTAGATGTCTTTGCATCATATATCGGCCGCGGAGTTCTGAATCATCCAGCTGTTCCTGCGAGTTGCTATCAATAAAGGCGGGAAAATAATCTGTATGGCTGCTCTTATGCAGTGTTAACCATGGCTATGTTCCAAATCTACTCTAAGGGATCACATGGCAGCACTAATAGAGCAACGCTGTGGGGCAAGAAGTATTTACGAAGGCGAAACTACAAGACGGCGAGAATGGAAATGTTTGAAGCGTGACCCATGTGGTGGAGTGCAATTTGTTGATCAATCACAATTGGGCGAGCCGCGCTCAGGTGTCAAGTGCAATTAAGTAGGTTGATAATGAGCCAGAAGTGATCAATGATGGGCGGTTTTTCGCGGTATTCCGAAAGCCATACAACGACGAAAAAAATGCGTACCTTCCCTTTCTCTTCCGTCGTCACTGGACGCTGGACCAAGCTCGTTTCTGAACTGCGAGTGCCGCAAGTTACAAAAACAGTCGCCGGAGTGAAGTAAAACGCTGCTCCAAAGCCACAAACGGCTTCACGCACGTTGTCTCGCAAAACACATTCGCACGGCGTCGATTCTTGATTGGTATCCAAGGGTGCGAAGCAGGGGCGTACACAGGTAGGGGGGAGGGGGCTTTAGCCCCTCTCCCCACCCCCCCCCCCCTCGAAGCTTAGCCGACCCTTTAATATACACATGCATTTTGACTCCCTCTCCGTCTCCGCACCCCAAGTCGTCGACATCCTGGCCAACCTCAGCCCCTCCCGAAAAACATTCCTGGCTACGCCACTGGTGAGGAGATGCAGAGACGCAGCCATTAGGCGTGCCAAGAAAGCTTTAATCACGCCGCGAGATTGATGGAACTTGCTTTCAGCGAGTTTTGCCTTCGTTCCGGCGGCACTGCGCTACCGTAAAAATTTCTAGGTGTTCTTAACAGCAAGTCTCACGGCTAACACAGGGCTTAAAATAACTTCTCAGATGAATGACGACGAACGAGTAAAAAACATGGCTTCAGCACACTGTCGCCAGCCTCAGAAACGCTTCAAAGACGCGTAATTTCGAGATGCGAAATGGCCATCTTGTGGTCAACCTCAGGATGCTGTGACCAAATGGAGATGCGCGATCCAGCAGTTTTCATAAAAATCAGTGTATGCAACGAAGGTGGACGATGAGAAGAAACGGCGACTGCAACACATGCGGGAAGCCCATCGACAACGGCGCTTCTGCGAAACTGCCTCCTTGTAGGTGACGTCTTGATCGTTCACATATGATACATCGCGTATTGTAGACAACTAACGTAGTGGTTTCTGCTACAAATGAAGCATTAATCGACGCAGTCAATTTCCCCTAAATGCTGTACGACGTTAACATGTGCGTGTATGTATACACATTGAATAACACTTGGGCGTCCAGTACAATTTGGTCTTGCACGCGCTTAAAAAAAAAAGGCGCAAGGCAACAAGCACGTACTCTAAGCCAGGTATCCAAAAGAGAGGCTCTGCCTTTCTTTTCCTGTAGGTAGTCGTAATACGAACAAAAGCAAATGATGCCCATGAACCACGTAATTGCAAAGAAGCAGGTGACCACTCTCTGGTTTTAGCTTCTCTACATACGCTCGCAGCTCGCCTCTCGTCGTCCTTATCAGTTACTCACATCACCGGGAAAAGTTTCGGACACGGCTAAGTCGCGTGAAACTAAGGAAGGTTCCAACGAAACGCGCGATACCCCACAACTAATTCTCTCCAAATGCCGCATGAAAGTGGAGCGAAAGACTCGGGTGGGAGCATAACAACAAAAATTACATACGCTTAGAATATCCGTACTCCATTCCTAGATTATTGTTTTGTAGGCGCCGCCATTTTTTTGGCTTGTTCGAAGGGCACACAGTTGGTGATATTCACGATTAGAAATTTCGACTTGCTGAGCTCTGATGCGATGTCAGAAAGCTCGAGCAATATCGTTTCGCTGTAATCGCGGACTGTTTTTGACACTTTTGGAGGACGGAAAATCCTTTGCTTAGATGTTAGGCAAATCTCCATGCAACTGACTCCCTCTCTTGAGCTTGAGCTTAGACAACGAAATGGCGGAATTGTAGTTATACTAAACGTGGCGTTTTTAGTCGATTGAGTAGGAGGTATGAAACCGAGGCTCCGAGGAAACCAAGTCTGCAAGGCTACTCGAGGGAACTGCACAAGCTGTGACGCTGTAGCTCGAGGGACACTGACAGATATCTTGGTAGGTCATATGTCCGATATGTACAAACGTGGCCGCTTTTCCTAATCTGAGAGTCCCGCGATTCAATCGAATTTTTCTCTAAAGTCATAAAGTGGTTTATAAAACAAATATATTTGTAAACATATTTTCTAACGAGCAATTAAATATCGAACAAGCATTAAAAGCCTTTATTGTTTCTGCGGAATGACCCCTTTAATCAGAATATACAATTGGTTCAACAAATGAAGTACATTTTGCTCCACTTGGAGGCTAGTCGATTCGGAAGCCGGTCTCTCATATTGAACGTCGTCCATTGTTTCTATCACGTGAGGCATCCAGCGCGATGAGTCCCGTATTAAAAGCATGAGCTGAAGGATCCACCTATTTTTTGTGCTTTATGATTTATTTTTTATTTGTGTACTATAGCATGGCGTATAAACGACAAGGAACAATTTATAAACACTTAACCCTCAATAAAAAAAATAAAAAAAACGAAGCATAAGCGTGCAATGAATACGACAAATCAAGACGAAAACTTCAAGTAGAGCGTCGTTAAATATAGGCAGTGCTGCTGAAGTTAAAAATATGTTAGTGAGATTACGCCATTCGTTAATGTTGTTATGGGAGAAGGAATATTTAAACAAAGTAGCTATATACAAAGGTCATATGACTGCTTCGAAATGTTTGTTGCTCGTAGACCAGGAGCTTTGTTATTTACTGAGTAGTGACCTAGACAGAGGCACAAATTACCGTAGACCCTTATATAAAGAAACTCGGACCGATATATATCTTGCCGCTTAGATAAATCATGCTGTCATGAAACGATTGCGTGATTTATATTTTGGAAATTGAGGAGATATAATTATAACGTGCAGCTGCGTTGTATTTTTACCGTGTGCCATTGTTGTGTTACGTTCACTTCCCTACGCCGGGACATTTCTTAAGATCTCTGATAGCAGATGTTCTTTTTTTTTTTTTTGCTGCAGTTGATTGGACTGCGATGGGAGCAGGTTTTCATTGGTATCTTAGCGGTCTTCGGCTTACACCTTGCCCAAACGTACTTGTGACTCACTTGGGTCGTTTAAAACGTTTTACAGCGGAAATATACGAGCAAAATTAAATATCTAGCAGTTTATTGTAATTCTTTTTTATATTTTACCGCAAACTTTACGTAAGATGTGACATACTTGATTTTTCCGTATGTGGCAACATTTTTGTTTAGCGACTTTGAAAAATATTTAAATTACCCCCTTGGTGTATTTCTGAAATTTACGGAAGGTGACACCGTGGTAATAGCGTTTCGTTTGAATATACATTGACGGAGTAAAAATTAGCGTCGAATCTCGATGATGATGTTAACGTAGTCCAGCTTTTGTTCAATCATGTGTTACTAATAAACGAAAAAAAATGTAAAGCAGGTTATGCTTTAGTTTGGTGAGGTACGTTACTTGTACGTTTATTCACTTTGATGAGCTCATCGCAACTGTAACAGGACAAGAACCACGCGCCAAGTTTTTGAGAATATATATGTACCTGCTTCGTTCATTTGAGATAAAAAAAAAGTTTTATTATTACTAAATTATCCGAACCTTTGAAGCAGCTCGAAGGAAGCTCTATTTCATTCACCGATCACTCAAAAATGTTTTCAGATGTCTAAATGTTACATTGTTTGGTATACTCATACCGAATATCTAATGAATAAAACTATTTGCTTACCCTTCAGAAAAAGGCTAAGAAAAATGATCTTCGTAAATAGAACCATTGTGGTATGACACTCTGAAAGAAACAAAAATTAACAAATTATATATGTTCAACGCACACAATTTTGCCACTATGAATCGAATTGTGAAAAACGATCTCACCAAATATAATTCAAGATATTTTTCTTTCAATCCTTATTTTGTGAATACAAGCATTAGTATTATTATTTAGATGTTTTACAATTGTGCTCGAAAACAAGCACGAAGTATAGAAAAAACACTCGGCAACAAAACTACCTACCAACTTGCAGCAGTCCCGGCCAAACAGTGGAGCTTTATATATACACGAACCAGTGAAATCAAGACAGGTGCAGGAGTGTTATCTAGTGTTGACGTTAGTATATTTCGATTGTGACCAGCAGATGGAAACCTTCCGCACTTTCTTGCGGAACTGCCGAATAACTACTGCAGATTGCTTGTTTTCGTAAGCAAGCCGTTGAGTTCTGATATTTTACAGAGATAGCTTTTATGTCCTCTTCCCACCACTGGAAATGACGTTCCTTGTTGATGCAGTCGTAGCAGTCGCAGTTGTTTTCCTTGTTGAGGTTGTAATTGGCGTAGCAGATCGTCCGTCGTCTAATATGCAAAATTACTGCTGTGAAACGAATCAAATTGTTTCGTATCCGCGATGAAAACCGCCAGGCTAGGAAGCTTTCCTGAATCATGTATATCAGCGAGTCAGAAAGCGTTTTATGACATCAAAAAAGAAATCAAGGATTGTGTTATCAAAGGAGTGCGCCGATCCTTCCTGCCTTTTTCTTAACGCCAATATTGAACTTTACAAAGTGTAGGGTGAAGTCCAAAGAAGGCAGTTTTTATTTTATTTTGTGTATCTACACAAAAGCTCTCACTTTATAATTGCATCGTGTTATAATCAAGCGTAAGAATATAACATGTAAAAAAAAAAAAAAACTCACTCCCGCTTATCAGAATATATATTACAGACAAGGACGAAGTCAAGACGTTGTGTACTGTATAAAAGTGAAGCTGGCGCAGCAGATGACTCGCGTAAATTAGGACTTTTATTAATATGGCATGATGGTAGCGGTGCAAGTGAGAGAAATGCCTAGGCTGCAGGCCTTAAGGGCGATGTCCGTCGTGCAACAGCGGCTCTTGGACTACGAAAAGGGACACATGGTGCAGCAATAAATCTAGCTGGCTTGTGTGACAGTCTTGTCTGGCCATTCGAGAGAACCTTGACCCCAAAAATGGAATTAAAAAAAAATTCCGAACTTGAGCCGCTGGCCGGTCATGTTTGGCTGAGCTGGGCAAGCAAGGGAGGTTTTTAAGCACTGTGTGCGATTCGGTGTTTCCTGCTTGACTTGGTCCTTCGGCAACTGCGTGTCATTTTACCTGTCAAGTAGTGCAGGATGGCAGTAGGTGCTTCGGCTGTGGACCTCAGAAAGCAGAAAAATGTGAAGGGCAACACAGGCGCCTATGTAGGCTACAGTGTTCTTTTAAGACGTTTTGAAAGTTCCTCTCAAACGTCTCCACCGGTTTGAAAGGATTTCAAATGCGTTTTCTGAGACCGTTCGTGTTCAGGACAGTTTATAGTTAAATACACTCCTCTTGGACGCTTCTCCCCTGCCTTCATCATGTTGGCCTTTTTTTTATGTCTACTAGTGCAGTGTGGTTTTATTAGATACTTTTTCATAGGAAAGGGCTCATCTCCGACGATGACGATGAACGAAAGCCCAAAGGGCCTTTTCCAGGCTCAGTCGGATCCGTTCCTAGTTGAAATGCCGCCATCACTTTCCCTGCCAGGACGGCCAATGTCCACTAAAGGAAAGTGGTACCGGGCGTCAACGACAGCAATTAGGACCTAAAAGATTTCTTACAATTATGTATTAGTGAGTGTGCTGGCCAACCAAGTAGTTCATAGCAGAGCTTTATAAACCAGCTGTGGAGATTGGAAACAGGCAAAGTAATTTGAATCTGCTGCAAATATTTTCATATATTGCACTTCCAAACTTATTCAGACAAGCGTGATGGAGTTGGTCATGTATGTATATAAAATGCGCGTAGGCATTAAAACCAAGAGGTTGCTGCGTGACTTTCCTGTCTCTATTTTAATTTTCCGATACACGTCTTACAATTTTAACACTTTTCTGAGTGCACTACTTAAAAAAAATATTCAATTAATTGCGTGGAGATAGCATGAGCCAATTTACTTTGCTGAATATGTGCTTGTACTTGAAATGTGTTGATCCGTTGAGCAGCGGGCACTCGATGGTAATGTGCTTTCGTCCATGGCGCCAACTCAGTTTGAAAAATTCCACAACCTGTAGCACCCGTCAGCAACAGAAGCCCACTCTGACGGCGAGCCCGCTGGCCTCGCGTATTTCGGAACCAGAGGCTTCCATAAAGCCTGGCACGTACTTCAAATTATCAAGCTCGTCGCTGAGTGCCTGGTCAGAAGTATTAATTTTTTTTTTGTGTCTCCACTTTCAAGGAACCAATGAGCACACATTACATTGTTATTACTTTGAAAACTAGATATCTGGCAAATAAAGATACTGCATTCCAAAGAAAAGTAAGTCAAATGCTTAGCTTAATATATGGCATTTACATGAGGTTACTGAAGGCATTATTTACGCGCTCCGCTAACAGCGCAAGCTCAGAATGAATAATATTTTATTGTCTGCGAGGAATGACAGTCTAGATTACTGGTTTTTACAACCATTAGCTGGATCGCGCTTACCGCCCTGGAAATGCGACCACAGGTGAGTCATGTTTATGGGCATATCAACAAGGCCGACGAGACATTGCGGCGAGTGTTATAAAAGATAGAATTGGTGACGCGCAGTCATACATAGGGTTCTTACAATGAATGCTAGAGACTCAGCAAACGCTAGTGTCTACGAGACTTCTGGTTGCAAATTGAAGCAGACAGCAAATAGTCTACTTTTCCAGTCTTCCTGCGTATTCCTATAAGAAAACCTTACAAGATATTTTCCTCTTCGCCAGGGAATAATAGAAATCAGCGTAGTTTCTTTACGCGAAACGGGTACTATGTACTATGTAGCTTTATTCACATTGTAAAAGTGTAATTTATTTAGTTAGTGTTTTTTTTTTAATTACTGAGTGATGTTTAGTTTAGCAAAAGTTTAGGCCCTGGTCTATGTTGTACAGCGTCATATATTAATACAAGCTATCAATTCAAGCAAAAAAATATGAAAGACTTTAGAGCTCTCTCTAACGCCGAATTGGAGCACAGCTCTCAAGGAGGAGGAGGGGAGGGTACGGAGGGAAGGGTATGCGCCTTCTCCTTCCCCGCTAAATTTAGCGAGAATATTGGAAGTGTTAGATGCGTGTGACGCCAGGTGACGTCACAAGTGACGTCATATGTCCCGTGACGTAACACGTGACGTCACACGTCACGTGTATCCCATAATGACGTCACACGTGGCGTCACGACGGTAACGTTTTGACGTTACTCCCGCGACCCTCACGAGAGTAACACTCAGGGGGAACCACACGTAAGGGTTACCCCCTGTGAGGGTTTCCGTCGTAAGGGTAAACCCCATGAGGGTAACCTCTGTGAGGATTACCTTCACGAGACTAACGCCCGTGAGGGTTACCCTCGTGAGAGTTACCCTCATGAGGGTTACCCTCGCAAAGGTAACCCTTGTGACGGTAACCCCCCGTGAGGGTAATCCTCGTGAGGGTTACCCGATCGTAAGGGTAACCCCCGTGAGGGTTACGCGGGGTTGCCCTCATGGGGGTTACCCTCAAGAGGGTAAGCCTTGTGACGTCACGTGTGGCGTTACACGTCGCATAATGCAACGCGCGGTTTCGCCGACGCTGGCACCACTCAACTCACAAACGGGCGCCTAAAAGCTGCGCTCTAAAATAACTATTAAAAATGATTAGGGTTTATTCAAGCTGTAGTAGCATTGAGATGACGGAAACGCAGTTTGTTACTAATGCACAGTTTGTTACTAATCCAGTACGTGTTCTTTGTTCCATAACTCCATGCTTCGTTCTTGTTGCCTGTTTTTATTGTTTGATTTCGCGTATATTAGCATCCTTTTGGTGTTGTGTCAAGCGAATTCACTCTGTGTGCTTCATAGCATTGACTGTATGCGTAAATACGTGCTTTATAATTGTAGTCTGCAACGTCAACACGTATTATACACGTGTTGCTACAGAAAAACGCTCTAGCACATTTCTTTGTACATCCGATTACAAAGAACGTTCGAAACGTTTCATTTTGTCTCAACACGAAGCAAAATTTGCTGTTATAATCGCGCGCGAATAGAAAACACATTTGCGTTTTCCCATGGAATGCATTACCGGAAGTCAAATTTAGACATGTTTTCTGTCTTCTTTAAAATGCAACAGCACACTAGCGCCACCTGAGCCTCTACCGTTTATTGTAATAACTTTATGCGCGTAGCACTGGAGGAGGGCAGTACAAGCAGCCTCCACAGAGTTTGCGATGACCATGCTGGTACACCCCAGACAAAGCCGACCGGTGGCCACAATCGCGTGCAAGCGCGTTCAAGCGAATTAATTGTCATAAAGATCAGTGGTATCGATGGTGTGGGTGTAGGTTCCTGAAAAACGATTGAGGTTCACCATTACCGCGCGTTCAGCAGCAACGACGTAGAGTTCATCCAAGAATTTAAAAAAGAACAAAACAAGAAAAACATGGAGGACATTTAGAACAACTGACGACCACTCGGCCATTTCCTTCCTCATCGTTTTCCATGTATTTTGTAAAGTGCTCGCGCTCCGGCGTCTCCAGGCTCGAGCGCTGAGCTTTGTGCAGTGCTTTGACGTCCTTTCTTTGCCCAATGTTTGTCTATATTGCCGAGCGCGCAGCCGGCCAAGTAGGCAGCGCGCCCCTGTCCGAACGGTTATCGTGTTTGGCTCCCACGCAAAGGGCCGAGGTTCGATGCCTTGTAGCGGAGGCACCTTTTCGTTGTTTTTTTACTGTCGCGTTTTCGTACATTCTAGAAATGCGCTTCTTGTTTGAGGTCAGATATTGTACGCGCCGAATCTTCTATTCCGATTTTTCCAGAAGTTCGGTCGTGTAGTAAAGGGGCTCCGCGTGGCGAGCCGGGGTCAGTCTCGCCCCAGCGTTCGATCCCCCTGTTTTGCCGCCATCGACGCCTGCGACGCTAGCTTTTCTCTGTTTTGTTTGGGCCCAAGTTCGCCCCATAACGTTTAGTTTGCTTCAGTTTTCGTCGCCTCATGATTTGAAATATGTCACGAATGACAATTGGTGTGGCGACGAAAACTGAAGC